CAACCGTATTCGCATCCGCCTACAACAAAACATAGTTTCACATTACCGGTACGCATTAATTCTCGAAAAATCACGAAATAGGAGTCCCTTTCCATGATCTTTTCGTAAGTTGCCCTTGGGTGCTCGGAACTTAGGTATAGTAAAGTACCGTGCCACAGGACTGTGTTGTTCTTTGTCTTTGCCAAGAAAACCTGTAGCTTGTTCGTATTCACATCTTTCATCGTTCTTCGCCTTAATCGCGACCTTCAGGTCCACCGATAGACTCTTATCGATGTCCACAGAACACGCTGTCCTCTGCACCAATAATTGCGCATGACAGCTTCACCATTTTTGAGAATGGAGAGAAAATATTAAATTTGTAGATATACTGACTTACTTCATATTAATGGTAGTCAATTGCGAGGAGGCTTATTTTAGCCTGAGCTCATTGAAGAAATCGGTCTCAGGCACCCAAACGATATGACAAACAGCATCAACGACGCCGTCTCCACGTTGATCTTGATCGGTGATAATGAGTATGTACTACGTACATCACAAGGTCGAGTGCTGTTCGATAACTACCGTTGCTTGGAGGTAAGTAGCTCGCAGCTTTACCGCTACAAAAAGCCATTAACGTCGTGTTGTCCTGTTAAACACAAATGGTCAGGCGAGTTTAAAGCAAGAATTCGTACTCACGCTCGACAGCAGCCACAAGCATAGAACATCGTCACCAGAGGACGCAGCCGTCCCCATCATTCTTTCTACCCCTTCAACGTCTCGCTTTGAACTATCAATCGATGATACGACGTTGTCTTCATTCGAGACCATGCTGAGCCTCAATTCGCCGCGGACATTCGTCATCAAATTCAGACCTCCAAAGGTATCTGAGAGCGACTATGCCTGGGACAACTTCCAGGACCAGATCGTTATTCATACAAGACTAAGTAAACTTGTGATCCATCTTGAGGCCTGGAAGCACGCGTTCGCGTCTGGACACGAGAGCAGTTTACTGTTCCCAGCGTCTCTACCCGATGTAAAGACTCCGCCGTTTAGGCTCTTTGGCGCAATCGAGCAAAACACTGGCAACGTTAACGAGCTATCGAAGCCGAGAACACCACCAATAGGAAAACTACCGTCGATTTCACGACCTCCATCCCGTAATCGACAGTCAAGTCCCTCAGTGTCACCACGTGGTAACTCGACCATTTTCTCATTTGTAAACGCCGTCCCCGTTCCGCTCCCCGTCCTGACTGCAGTTCAGTCCGAGCGCGAGGCTCGAGAGGTGATTCAGAAACTACGAAGACGGAGAAGTCATCGTAGCAACACTGAAGTGCTGGTTCATAGGTCTCCGACTTCAGTCGCAGATACCACAGCGTTCCCCGAAACGTTAGCTCCTGATACAAGTACCAAAACCGATCTCGAAAAATTCAACAATCTCATTGTTGCTGCCAAGGACCAAATAATGAAAGAGAATGAACAGGCAAAGAGCGAACTAGCGTATTATCAGCAACTACTACCGAAGCCTCCATTGCGCGAATCGCCTGCAGAAATTCAATCTACGGTGCGAAGAGCCCGACACAAGTCTGCACCAAATAAGCGGCCACTTAAATTGCCATCACTTGAGCGACCTCCGTCTACAGAAGCAGTCGCTGATATGAACTCATCTGTGAACAACCAAGACATTACTTTGGAACAAGTATCGAAACCTCGGAAATCATCCGGAAACCAGAAAGGTACGAGGAATATCAAGCTGGAGTCTCTTTCTCGAAGACCAGAGCAACAAGAAGCCACAAAGTTACCGGTCAAGTTAAACACCCGCAAAAGCATATTTCATGATTTTGACATTCCCGACCCTGAGGTGGATGATGCTCCTATCGTTCCGGATGATCTTAGCGGTGTGGCGGCCTTGGATGCAGATGATTATTAGCGTGCGTTAATGTAACATTTGTTGGAAATTAAACACTCAGCTCAATTAAATGTCGCTCCACACTCTATTTGCTCTAACTACCACGGTAAGTGGAGTACCCGAAGGGGTTAAGGAGTAAGGGCACATGGTAGTGCTGAGTTGGGTCTTTGACAACGAAGGCGATGGTCACTTCCGGGTAGAAGAACTCCGTAATTCCGTTGGCTTCGAAGTATTCTTGCGCATAAAACACCATGCGATAGGTGCCAGCTTCGAAGCGTGTAGATTCCGGCACCAAGTGGCTGGCAACACGTCCGTCAGCGTTTGTTCGTCCCTCGTTGATGCGGATCCATTGACCTAAGTGGAAGTGCTGCAACTCCACACGCACGTTGGCGGCCGGTCGACCGATCGAAGTGTCGAGGATGTGAGACGTCACGGGCGACTTGTAACTCATGGAAGTGCTCGAGAGGTGGCGGTTCACGGCGTTAATGCGGCGCGAAGGGGAGGACATCCAAGTGTCGGAATAAGAAGATTTGCTGAGTGAATGCGTATTTTGCATCTGGTTATTTTTTTGTGACAGAAAAATTACGGTATTTTACGTAATGCTGACTTATGGTGTGCTGTCGCTGGTTACAGCATCGCCTTGAGTTTGTCTACCGAGCCTCTGGCGACGATTATGTAGGTTTCCAGCCCAATAGGTGTGCCACTAGCAAGCCATTCGTCAGCCTTTCGCTTTACGATAGCGTACCGTCGATCTTTGAGTCCTTCCTGACCACGTTCAAGTGGGAACATTTCGTGGTGCAACTTCGCGAACTGTTCTCCACTCCAGAGCTCCACTACACACTGGAACGGCCAGATCTGCACGTGGTTGAAACCAGCCTGTGCAAACCGCTCACGCAACGCTGGTAGATCTTTCCCCATGATGAAGTTGGAGTGCTCCGCCGTGTTCTCCTCGAGTCCCAGCTCTTTATTAGCTGCTGCGTTAATAGCGAACGTTCCGCTTCGATCAGGAGATCCCCAAATGGTAAACCCTGCAATACCGTCAGGGGTTAACACTCGCTTCGCTTCACGCAGCATGGCATCGGGATCTGGAGCGAGTTGAAGACACAGACTGGCAATGTATCGATCCATCGAACCCGTCACAATTTCCAAGTCCTGGCCTGTGTACATCGATTAGAGTGTCGTAACATTTACGTAGCTTCTGTAACTCTAGCTTACCGTTGGCTTCCGTGAACTGGATGTCGACACCTCTTGAATCCACGCCATTGAAGTTCTCCTTGGCCATCCCGACCATCACCGGCGACAAGTCCGTGACTGTGAACGTCCGCAGCTTAGAGCCCCCGTCAAACAGGTATTGAGCAGCGTCGAGTGAGCCCAGCCCAGCTCCTGCAGCGATCTCAAGAACGTTTTGAGCGCGATCCAACTGCATGTGGCAGTGCAGCTGTTGAGCACATTGCAGAGTCATGTGCTTGTTCGCCGTCTCTGTGAAGACCACGGCGAAGTTGCTCCAATTCTTCCGCATCATTGCAAGGCGGCCAGCCATAACTGCGAATATCTTTTCAGCTTGTTCGGTCTAGGACGAGATTTTTGAAATGGTTCATGTAAGCAGCAAATCAACTTACGCTCGCCACGTAGAGCATCGCCTGCTCAACAACTTCAAGTCCTGCACCAGTGTTCCTCACACGATTAGATAGCCGTATAGTGATCCCCTTATTATCCGTCACGTGTCTTTGATTAATATTATAGAGGCTTTATGATTTGACTGAAAGTTCAT